ACACCACGCTTCTGCTGTCAGGCCTGATGACTGCACCTTAACACACTCACACATGTACAGAGACAGGAGGGACGCGGGGGCGCGCACACTATCTTATCATAACCAAAAGGAATTCTACTTTTTTTTTGTCCCAAAGAATGGATATATATATATAAATATAGTGTGTGTTCAACTGTATTTATACAATTTTGCCACATGCTTTTATATTAGTCTTCTGCTGGTGCCCAAGGATGTGTGTTACTGTTATTTTATTCCACATTTTACTTTGAAAGTCACAAAATATCCTTACCGGTTAAGTACATCTGCTCAAGAGAGCAATAGGAAAATCTTTTGATTCACGTATATTTATATGTATTTGATGTCCCAATCCATTACTTTATTTTAAACTATGATCAATAATATATACGTTTGTGAGATTAACAGTGTCTTTTTGTTCGTCTTGGTTTGGGATTTCTTTGTTTCTCTCGACACACTGTTAACTGTAGCATTACAGAACTGCTGTATGGGATTACATGCATATCATATCAGTCAAAATGAATAGAAATACCTCATTTAAGCAATCAAAAAAAGAAAAACAGCTGGTTAATGAAGATCGATCAAATTTAAACTGCTAGGATAATGAGAGGAATTTTGCTGTGCAAAAGCTACCTCCACTTCTGGCCCATTACAATAGGAAATTTCATTTTTACTTTTTTTTTTAATTGGCAAGGTAATTAAATTTCTAGACCTTTGTGTTTGCCCTTGATTTCTCAGCAACGCCCTCTTTTTACTGTCTTGTTTTTGAGCTAATATTTTTATACAAGAGTAGAATTATACTGTATTTTTGAAGGAAATATGCACTTGCGCACACTTTGTACGGGGTGGGCCTGTTTTGTGTTGTAATTTCAGAGCTCTCTTGCTCCAAAGACATTCCACTTACTTTGAGTAGATCTCAAGGCAGCCTGCTTCTGTAACCAATGGGGGAATTTCTACACGCAAACTGATGCATTTAAGCTACCCGAAATGACAGCAAGTGATTCGAGTCCATGCTAGGCAGCAGTATAGAATTCAAGCTCAATGCAAACTTCCTGTGATGAGGGATTTCTTTTCTTTTTTGCCAAGAGGGTGCCATTGCTGGTGCGGTGGTCATATGTCATATTTGCTCCTGTTGGCTTGGAGAGACTGTGCCAACGTTGCATCCCATTGTGCCTAAAGCTCACTTTTTTAATGTATATGATGTTATTGTCTTCTCAAACCGCTTTAAAACGAAGTTTCACACATGTTGCCAGACTGCTGGAAGATTTTAGAGCAATAAAGGTGTTTAGTGGATTTGTATATTTCTTTATAGCAATGTAGATGCAGAAGCTAGGTTTTGTACATTTCTTCACCAGAGCTTTTGTAAATTTAAGACGCCAGACAGAAATCTTTCTAGGTTGTATCATATAGATGCTGTTCTCTTCATTTTTGGACTGTAACTGTTACAGATACATTTTTGTTTGGTGTGGCAAATAAAGATTTAAGTTATGTAATTTCAGTGTGACTGTATTTTGTTTTTAAACCGCTTGATAAAGGTCCAGACTTATTGCATGTTTTAGCGGGCCGTTCACTCCGAACGCGTCTTTGCATCTAAAAACATGAGATGCAGTGCTCAGGAGTGTTTTTTTTTTTTTTTTTAAAGAAAAGGCCAGCACAAAACGCGGCTAGAGTTAGAGGGTCAAATAAAGATGGAAGAGATGTGTTATACAATTTTGCCACATGCTTTTATATTAGTCTTCTGCTGGTGCCCAAGGATGTGTGTTACTGTTATTTTATTCCACATTTTACTTTGAAAGTCACAAAATATCCTTACCGGTTAAGTACATCTGCTCAAGAGAGCAATAGGAAAATCTTTTGATTCACGTATATTTATATGTATTTGATGTCCCAATCCATTACTTTATTTTAAACTATGATCAATAATATATACGTTTGTGAGATTAACAGTGTCTTTTTGTTCGTCTTGGTTTGGGATTTCTTTGTTTCTCTCGACACACTGTTAACTGTAGCATTACAGAACTGCTGTATGGGATTACATGCATATCATATCAGTCAAAATGAATAGAAATACCTCATTTAAGCAATCAAAAAAAGAAAAACAGCTGGTTAATGAAGATCGATCAAATTTAAACTGCTAGGATAATGAGAGGAATTTTGCTGTGCAAAAGCTACCTCCACTTCTGGCCCATTACAATAGGAAATTTCATTTTTACTTTTTTTTTTAATTGGCAAGGTAATTAAATTTCTAGACCTTTGTGTTTGCCCTTGATTTCTCAGCAACGCCCTCTTTTTACTGCCCAAGGATGTGTGTTACTGTTATTTTATTCCACATTTTACTTTGAAAGTCACAAAATATCCTTACCGGTTAAGTACATCTGCTCAAGAGAGCAATAGGAAAATCTTTTGATTCACGTATATTTATATGTATTTGATGTCCCAATCCATTACTTTATTTTAAACTATGATCAATAATATATACGTTTGTGAGATTAACAGTGTCTTTTTGTTCGTCTTGGTTTGGGATTTCTTTGTTTCTCTCGACACACTGTTAACTGTAGCATTACAGAACTGCTGTATGGGATTACATGCATATCATATCAGTCAAAATGAATAGAAATACCTCATTTAAGCAATCAAAAAAAGAAAAACAGCTGGTTAATGAAGATCGATCAAATTTAAACTGCTAGGATAATGAGAGGAATTTTGCTGTGCAAAAGCTACCTCCACTTCTGGCCCATTACAATAGGAAATTTCATTTTTACTTTTTTTTTTAATTGGCAAGGTAATTACATTTCTAGACCTTTGTGTTTGCCCTTGATTTCTCAGCAACGCCCTCTTTTTACTGTCTTGTTTTTGAGCTAATATTTTTATACAAGAGTAGAATTATACTGTATTTTTTGCACTATGTACTCAATCATGTAGTGTATGTGATTAAAGCTGCGACAGTTGAGTGCATGAAGTGCATTAAAGTTGAAATTCTTTAAACTTGACATGGCGTCTTAAAAACGCGGCGATGCAAAAGACACGAGCGCAACGGTCATACATGTTCGTCTAGTGCAGGGGGTGTCAAACTCAATTCCTGGAGGACCGGAGCCCTGCAGAGTTTTGTTCCAACCCTGCTCCAACATGCATACCATGTAGTTTTCAAATAAGCCTGAAGGACTTGTTTAGCTGGATCAGGTGTGTTTAATTAGGGTTAAAGCTAAACTCTGCAGGGCTCCGGCCCTCCAGGAATTGAGTTTGACACCCCTGGTCTAGTGCATGCTTACATAGAAAAACAATGGAAAAGTAGCACATTGGAAAAAACGCATTTGAACGGCCCCTTGTTGACATTATGAAAAAAACAATTAAATCACACAGTATGTCCAAAAGAATATAGGCTACCCATGTTTTTATGCTGTAAACACGCAGAGTTGTAACTGGTGGATCGACAAGAAGATAATGCATTATAAAGATCTAAACAATTAAGACAGTAAAATATATTTATTTAATTAATATAATGATTGATAATTGTTTAAATTAATATAATAATTGATACTTTTCTCATTTTGGTTTAAAGGCCGAAATGTGCCGTTTATCATTTTATAAGACTTTTTGTTTTTGTGAAAACCTGTGTCTGAACTGTAAATCAGTCATTTTACAGTTTAATATGTTACCAGACATTGCCCTCCCCCACTCATATGGTATCAATTTTATTTGTGCAGGTCTTAAAAAGTCTTAAATTTGAGCTTAAAAATCCTGCAGATACCCCGTTCATGGTTGTGGTCTTTCTAGCAAACATACAGTTGCGCTACAGGACATACATCTCCGACGAACTGACATTTTGTGTATTTTTCATAATTAAATCAGCACAATGGTGGACTTAACCCTATAAAGACTACTGTATCACATTTGATACGCAAATTTCTAAGGCCTCTAAATGGTTTAAAGGTGGGGTAAGTGATTTCTGGTAGCCAATGTTGACATTTGAAATCACCAAAACAAACACGCCCCTACCCCAAAAGGGTCTTGCCCCTATTTTGATAGCTCCACCCCACATATACATAAGCAACCCAGGCAACGATTAGTTTTGTGAAACAAAGCAAAACCAATGTTACACCGTGTCTACACCGGACGCGAGTGGCACGGCGCGACATCCACCATCTCTATCTTTCTGTCGCTCGGCTCGGCTAATGTCCGTCCTGTGCACTGAACGCTCTCTCCTCCACATCATGAGTAGACATGCCCCTTACTGCTGATTGGCTACAAGTTTGTTTGGCTAGTCGGCCCAAATCAGTTTTCTACAGCATTTTTGAAAAATCGCTTACCCCACCTTTAAATGATCAAAACTTTGCTGATAATCCTGTTGTTCAGTCTTCTACATGCCTTCTGTCATTTGATTGTTAGTTTAGACTTCTTAGCAAATAAAAGACCTTTTAGTATAATTATACAAACATCCACCTTCAGCTCGTGCGTCATGTGTCTTTTTGCTGTGATATCTTAACTGATTTTTCTGAAGTAAACATAAGAATAACTTATGATATTCTTAGTAATATTTCAAGATGAGCACTTACTGGACTGAAGCAGCTTTGCTTTACTTGATTATCCAGACATCCTTTTTTAGAAAAAGTCTCAGGCTTTTGAGGAACGTTTATTTGTTCATCTCTCAATCATCATTGGATTGCATTGCATTATATGTTTTGATCATCAAACAAAGCATTTTTTATCATCTTACTAAGACATATTCTTGGAGATATAGAGTGACTGCTGATATTTATATCATTTTATGTCAGAATTTCATCACCTTTTGGTCATATTCACTACTGTGCAAAAGTCTTAGGCCATTAGTATTTTCACCAACAAAAAAATGGTTTTAAGTTATTTCTATCTTTGCTGTAATGTGTCAGTAGGAAATATCAGTTTACATTTCCAAACATTCCTTTTGCCATTAATTGTAATGCAGTGAGATTTTTGTAACCGTTCCATTTTTTTTTTTAAATATTAGATTTTTCTGACTATTATTTTATATGCGGTTATGATGCTTTTGGCTACTGAATGAGTTTACAGTTTTATTCTCAGGACTTGTGTTTGGCTTTAACAGCTATCGCAGATGATGTGCCTTCATTACTAAACGAACGCTCCTCCTCTTCGTCCAGCTGTAAGCTTCCGGAGGAAATGCGCATGTGCGCCAGAGGCGTGGAGCGCACCAGTCTGCTGATCCCGGGACAGTAGAACGAACACATCACGTCCGGATCCGAGTCGCTGTGGCTCAGTTCTGACCTGCTGCCGTCTGTCGGTCGTGCCGAATGCAACGGCAGGTATGTCGGCCGCGTGAGGCCTTCCCGTCGAGACAGGTGAGGATAGTGACCCAGCGGGCGAAACTCTGCCGGCTGACACAACAGCTTGACGTCAGACTGGCTGTATGACCGGCGAGGAAGGCCCGTTTGGTAGCTGCAGTCGTCACTGAAGTGGCCTAACTCTTCCTGATCTCGGTCTCCAAAGCTTCCCGCTACGTAAAACCCAGGTGCTGCTCCGAGCATCGGAGGCCATCCTATCCCGGCGTACCGTTGCCAATGTGTAAGCGCCGGGGAGGCGTACGCGGATCCGGAGAAGCTCGAAGAGCGCAAGGCGTCGTCCAGGAAGCATGCCATCGCCGGCAGCATCTCATGAGCTGTGTGGCTGCAACACGGCAGCAGGACTGGAGCGCAGGAGTGATCCAGAGTGAACGACGGGCACACGGGCAACAGCGGATGCAGGCATGCGTGAGGGTGGTTTGGGTAAAGCAGCACCAGCTGGCGTCTGTTCAAACGGCATCTAAACTGGGCTCTCCGGTTGTTCCTGTGCTCCTGCTGTGCACTGGGCCCTGCGTCCACCTCAGAGCGGAAGGGCCGAAGGGAAGACGCCTGAGAATCCTCCGGCTCAGAGACGAGAACCTCCACAGCCGACTGACTGCGCATGCCGCTTCCCGCGTGAGGAAAACCACACGACTGCTGCTCGTATGCCTGCAACACACACACACGGTTCAGTCAATGCAAACAATCTGTTCCGTCAACTATAACAATAATGAGACTCATTGACAAAAAAAATTACACTGCAACATATTACTGCACTAACTAGAAACCAATTGATTCAAATCCAATTCCAAGATGACTTAAAACAAGTGCAGATTTCTAAGGGGCCGTTCACACAGAACACGTCTTTCCGTCTAAAAACACCATGTTGCCGTCATATAAAATAGTTGCCATGGCAACTTGCTACTGTAAAAACTGCTTGGGGTCTTCTGATTGGTCCACTGTTTTGGAACTGACATTGATGAGCGGCGCCGCATGTAAAAGTTGAAATTCTTTAAACGTGACACGGCGTCTTAAAAACGCGGCGCTCATGTGCGAGACTCTGCAAAAGACACGAGACATGAGCGCAATGGTCATACATGTTCGTCTAGTGCATGTTTACATAGAAAAACAATGGAAAAGTAGCGCATTGGAATGGAAAAACACGTTCTGTGTGAATGGCCCCTAAAGCCTCTAAATGATCAACATGATCAAAATTTTGATGATAAAACTGCTGTACACAATCTACTACATGCCTTCATCTGATAGCTTATGCTTTTTTAACAAATAAAAGGTCTTTTAGTATAATTGTACAAACGTCCACCTTCAGCTCGTGCTTCACGTGTCTTTTTGCTGTGAAATATTTACTGATTTTTATAAAGTAAACCTAAGAATAACTTTTAATGCTTAAAAGTTCAATAAACGGCTCCATAAAAAATAGATTTTTTTTCAGGGTTTTTTTTTCAATTAAACATCAATTTCAGCTTTTAATTCACCTCCTCAACAACTGTTTTTCTTTCTTTGAAGAACCAAGGTCTTGAAAAGCTTGATTTTTGAAGTGTGGTTTCTATCTAGACTTGGATGTCATGTGAATTAATAAAATGGTAAAACTCCATTGGCATCTTTCTAATAATCATACTTTTCTAGTTATTCCAAGCTTTGAAATATTTTATCAGGTAGAAATTGTGAGTAAAACAACAGCTTGACGTCAGACTGGCTGTATGACCGGCGAGGAAGGCCCGTTTGGTAGCTGCAGTCGTCACTGAAGTGGCCTAACTCTTCCTGATCTCGGTCTCCAAAGCTTCCCGCTACGTAAAACCCAGGTGCTGCTCCGAGCATCGGAGGCCATCCTATCCCGGCGTACCGTTGCCAATGTGTAAGCGCCGGGGAGGCGTACGCGGATCCGGAGAAGCTCGAAGAGCGCAAGGCGTCGTCCAGGAAGCATGCCATCGCCGGCAGCATCTCATGAGCTGTGTGGCTGCAACACGGCAGCAGGACTGGAGCGCAGGAGTGATCCAGAGTGAACGACGGGCACACGGGCAACAGCGGATGCAGGCATGCGTGAGGGTGGTTTGGGTAAAGCAGCACCAGCTGGCGTCTGTTCAAACGGCATCTAAACTGGGCTCTCCGGTTGTTCCTGTGCTCCTGCTGTGCACTGGGCCCTGCGTCCACCTCAGAGCGGAAGGGCCGAAGGGAAGACGCCTGAGAATCCTCCGGCTCAGAGACGAGAACCTCCACAGCCGACTGACTGCGCATGCCGCTTCCCGCGTGAGGAAAACCACACGACTGCTGCTCGTATGCCTGCAACACACACACACGGTTCAGTCAATGCAAACAATCTGTTCCGTCAACTATAACAATAATGAGACTCATTGACAAAAAAAATTACACTGCAACATATTACTGCACTAACTAGAAACCAATTGATTCAAATCCAATTCCAAGATGACTTAAAACAAGTGCAGATTTCTAAGGGGCCGTTCACACAGAACACGTCTTTCCGTCTAAAAACACCATGTTGCCGTCATATAAAATAGTTGCCATGGCAACTTGCTACTGTAAAAACTGCTTGGGGTCTTCTGATTGGTCCACTGTTTTGGAACTGACATTGATGAGCGGCGCCGCATGTAAAAGTTGAAATTCTTTAAACGTGACACGGCGTCTTAAAAACGCGGCGCTCATGTGCGAGACTCTGCAAAAGACACGAGACATGAGCGCAATGGTCATACATGTTCGTCTAGTGCATGTTTACATAGAAAAACAATGGAAAAGTAGCGCATTGGAATGGAAAAACACGTTCTGTGTGAATGGCCCCTAAAGCCTCTAAATGATCAACATGATCAAAATTTTGATGATAAAACTGCTGTACACAATCTACTACATGCCTTCATCTGATAGCTTATGCTTTTTTAACAAATAAAAGGTCTTTTAGTATAATTGTACAAACGTCCACCTTCAGCTCGTGCTTCACGTGTCTTTTTGCTGTGAAATATTTACTGATTTTTATAAAGTAAACCTAAGAATAACTTTTAATGTTTAAAAGTTCAATAAACGGCTCCATAAAAAATAGATTTTTTTTCAGTTTTTTTTTTTCAATTAAACATCAATTTCAGCTTTTAATTCACCTCCTCAGCAACTGTTTTTCTTTCTTTGAAGAACCAAGGTCTTGAAAAGCTTGATTTTTGAAGTGTGGTTTCTATCTAGACTTGGATGTCATGTGAATTAATAAAATGGTAAAACTCCATTGGCATCTTTCTAATAATCATACTTTTCTAGTTATTCCAAGCTTTGAAATATTTTATCAGGTAGAAATTGTGAGTAAAATTTTTTTTTTAAATCCCAGTTTAATGCTTTACTGCAGCTATGTAAACATGTTCAAGATAAGTTAATTTCTGAAATGAAATAAAAAGGATGAATGAATATGAGTCTCTGTGCGCTGTTTTGGCCTCTCCAGCAACTATGTCACCGCTAATAATAGTAGTATCGTCTATAACGAATAGGTGACTAATATGGTTTTGCAAATAAGAAATAAAATATTAAGCATGCATTCTGACTTCTTGTGATATGCTATACATAATGCAACCAGTCTCAAAAACAGTAATTTCTAATAGTTTAGCATATACTGAATGATCATGATTAGAAGCATAGCATTCATGCTAAGCTATCATAGCATATAGTCAGCATGTCAGAAAGTATGTAACAGCTTCCAGCCTAAAAATATACTGGCTGTACCTGCTTGGAAACATCAGTCAGTAAGTCAGGCGAGGATCTGCATTGTCGTGTATCATAGTAGTCTCTACAGTACTTCCTGAAGGAAACAGAACAACTCAGTATTTTACATATGGTCATCTTTCACGGAAATATGAGCTATTTTTAACTGTTTCTAGTCATTTCCCACCTCTGAAAAGGTAAGTTGTTCTTCTCAGATTTCTTCGCAAAATCCAAAAGCTGCTTTTGAGTTCTTCCACTGTTGGTATATATATATATATATATATATATATATATATTTATATATACTGATCAGTCTGACGGGGATCCATAGATAAAAGGAAAACACCAGACAAGCAGCAGCACTGATATTTCCATGTAAATATCAAAATAACTGGTCATAGTTGTAACGTAATTTATGGGTCATTCCTTTTGGTTTAAAGTAACTGTGTAATCATGATAGGGAGATCATTTGCTAAATGGGTCACACTTTATTTTAAGGTCCAATTCTCACTATTAACAAACCATTAACTACCACTTTTGCCTCAATAAACTCCTAATTTGCTGCTTATTAATAGTTAGTAAGGTTGTTGTTAAGTTTAGGTATTGGATAGGATTAGGGATGTAGAATATGGTCATGTAGAATATGTACTTTATAAGTACTAATAAACAGCCAATATG